CGAGCTACCTACAGGCTCTAGGAGCAATACGATGGGTAAAGAAGCTACGCTCGTTTCAAGTACAAAAAATACTTCAGATTTTGTGTCATTCCTCAAGTATCATCACTCGATGTACGTGGGCTGCTAACTGCACGTTAAACACCAAATAAAATTTTATGTGATACAGTCAATCGTATTAATTTTTTAATAAGTCTAAATAGATTTGATTTTAAAAACATCATCTCGTGAATATCAGAGCTGACTGATCGCTTAGTTACCGACCCTGGTTTGTAGCTTGGCCTGGGACCGGGGGTATCTGGCTCAATATTCATAGGTTCCAAATAAAGAAGGCCGGTGATTGGTCACTGAAGTGGACGAGCAATCACACCCCTGTGGTGTGACCGCCTATCCGACCCGCACTTAATTGGGTGTGTGTTAGCTGAGTGGGAGAGACCCTACTGACCGAAAAAGCCCCATAGTGTATTGAGGGGTACGGAACATCGGTCCCAAAAATGGGTCGGATAACTACCATTATTCTGCGCTAGAGAAAGCTTAATCCTAGCGTGTAGGTTCCGGTACCTTAAGCCTCCGATAGCTTAGTTATGTTATAGACTTTTGATTTCGCTCCAGGTGGGGCGCTCGAATCCAGTCTCCGTGCGCTTGCTAACGCGGGTCCTATTAATCAAGCTTTATCTGTTCAAAGTGCACGGCAACCCCGTTGCAGTTTTTTTGTCCCTTCACTGAACGAGCTGGACCGTAAATATCAACGGCCCCACGGTGACTACTATTTATGCTCCCACCGACACCCGATCAGTGCACCCATGAAGGTGTATTCTTATAGCTGGCGAGCACCCCAACAAGCGATCGCCATATTCAGCCCTTGAATCGTCAGGTACCCGACCAAATAGACAACAATTTTAAGTTGTGTCTTGTTATGCCGAGTACAGGTAATCGAGTATTAAATATTTCATCCTGGCAGAGGACATAGTCCATTAATTATTCAGCAGTGGGATAAACTACATAACCACCAGGTCGTCTTGCACTTTGCGCGTAGAAAGCGTTGACCGTCATTAAGCGGTTCAAGGCCAAGTTTGTATACTCCCACCAGGGGCAGAAGCGAGTTCCTATCTTGAAACTAGGTGTCTACTTGGCTCTCTCAAAAGCACATGTGTATTCAGGATAAATTTTATTTGAGCTGGTACTAAATGTATACGTTATTCTGTCTCGCTCAGAAATAATATCTATTTTGGTAAAGTTATTTTCTGTCTGACGTGCGGTTATCAGATCACGTCTACAACGGACGTCTACTTACGGAGCTACATCCTCATAATAATACCGATACTTTGTGACTCATAAAATTTCAAAAATACGATTTGAAGTTCCGTAGACTTGTACCACATTGATTAAGTAAGATTTGTCAAACGTGTAAGATGACAGCATACAAAAATTTATCCCGTTAGATCCTCTTCCGTATCGATGTAAACTACACTGAGGATCAAAATCTTTTGCCTTGTAAGGAACTTTGAAGCAGTGCCCGCTCTTCGGGAAACCAGTCTAACTCTACCCTCTGCGATTTCTCGTGCCTGCTCATCAGAGCCAATAAGCACCAGTAAGCACCAGAAGCCCCCTTCAAAGCGCCAAAAAATGGTTCGAGGAGCTATCCAAAATAGGAACGGTGGTCACGACCGACGCACTAAAAATAACTTTTGGTGAGGATGCCGGAGCGTTACTCCAGTGAGCACGGACATTGTGACTCTTTAAATACTCCAACGCTCACCCAGCGACACACAGCTTAGCTGTTCCTGAGGGATAGGCGCACATTACGCTCACTCGTCCCACAGCATGAGTCTCGAGCTCTAGGTCTTTTCCATTGGAAAAAAGTCTTGCGATGGAGCATAAGATAATGTCCAGCTAGTCGCCAATAAGCTAGATCTGGCCTTTATTGCTCAATTTAAACTGCTGATAGTACAAGATCACACCGACTTTTTTCTATATAAATCACTGTGATTACGGCTCAAAGCCGTCTGACGTTTCTCGCCGCGATAATGCGGAGCCCTTTCGCGCCTAACGAGCGGGTTTTTCGCACGCGCCACGGGTGAAATGATTGGAGTTAGGGCGATGAAGTCGCCCCACGCACGTTCTTTATTTGTCCGCCATCACTCTATCGGATTACCGCCTGCGCTCAGAGAAACAGCAATGCTGAAGCACCTTACTTCCACAAGAAATTTTCTTTAGGTAGTTGAAGTCGACGGAAGTGTAGATAAGTATATTTCATTTTGCGCACTGGTTGACAAAAACACGCCGTGTCATTCATCTAAGGCCTTGCAAGCCATTTTTACCAAAGCAAAATGTCGATCAATTGCGTCGTATCATACTGTTAATCCTACCTTTGACTCGAAGTCTTCAAACTTCAGTTGAAGATCAACAGTACTTTTCTTCGCAGTGACCATCGCACCAGTGACCAACTTCGCTGAGATAAAGCCGTTGCTTCTATCTAGAGCATCCGAAAGTACTGAATCATTTTCAGCAACGGTTTGCTTCCGTGCGTAGTTACGCGATGCACCGGGGTAGACTCTAAACGGACGGCCGTAACCCTTCATACTTACTGTGGTCACGAGAATACCATGTCGTAAGCGAAGGACAACGATCCTTTAAGGGCTAAACCATCATGAGTGACTCTACCACAAACTTACAGCTGCCCCAGTAGACCGCCCTGCATCTACTGGCTTCCGGTGTCTCCCGAACGCCTTGTTGTATTGGTACCACGTGACTCGGAATCGTTACGATGAGAACCGTATTAGAAGGTTTGTTTCTCACGCGAACAATCACGGCGCATGTGATGATATATACTATAATTAGAATTATCACTGTATTTTGGTTGAACTTTTAATTTATGATAAAATTTATGAGATGAAAAAAAATCATTATTTACTGTTGTTAATAATCATTGAGTAGATTACCTAATGACCGAATTGCTGACATCCGTGACAGCGAACTTGCTGCCTATGGATAGTCACCGCGCTAAGATCATTGTTTCGGATTTTCAATTGCAGCAGTCAGGTTGACCGATTGGCCACATGCTTGATGTTGACAAAAGCGATTGACTTCCCATGTCATCGCCCAATTCTTCATATGGCCATCCAAATGCGAAAGCCATTTGATTACGTTCATCACGAATTTGAGCCATTCGCGATTACGATGACCATTTTTCGCTATCTCAACACAAAAAGTTTCGTCTTCGTTTCAGCAAAAGCTTTTCACTTTGACTTTACGGGACATTTCGTGTACACCGACGGTGTCACCATCACTTGTGGAGGAGGTCATAAATGTTCTGCGATATAAATCTCAATCATCCTAGCTCATACGCAGCAAAATTTGCTAAGCGTTGAGAGGTCGCCTCTTGATAAAATTGAAGCATAGTGGACTGTTCAAGAGTTGCGTACTCTCCTCTCCCCGAGTCGGTCATAGTGACCGTCTTTATGGAGGGCCTCCGCACTGGCGTGCCCTAAATTGAAGTCTTCCGTGTACATCGGCCTTCTATAAAGAAGCGGTGAATGTGGAATTGAATGCCGGATTCAACTTAGAGTCACGACATAGTTGGAATGCAATCCCTCAGAGCTCGTCGAGCGGGCCTGAGCCAACGGATCAGCTATGCTGAGATAGAGGCGGAAGAGCTCCGAGCTGCCAAGCAGCGTCAAACCACCCGACAATGTCTTGTCCGTGCAGACACCCGTCACCATCAGACTAATTGTTGCGCGTCAAGGTTCATCGAGCCGACGTCCCGCTTTTAACCAGTCTAGTTTGTCGTGGGGAAATGAGAAAAATCCTGTAGGCGCGAAGCGACCTACTGGGGAAGAACTGAGTTCTATTGAGCCTCAGGGAGGCATAGGTCAACAGGGCCCAGCCCCGAAGAGCTCCGTGCTCTTGAACACGGAACGTGTATGCAAGCCGGGTTTGCTGGTCTC